GCCAGCAAGTCTGGTTTTGGGATTTTGTGATATGGGCTAATCTTACTGGAGTTAGGTGATATCTCAAAGTAGTTTTGATTTGCATTTCTCTAATGATTAAGGATGGTGAGCATTTCTTCATATATCTATAGGCTGCATGCTTATCTTCTTTGGTGAAATTTCTCTTCAAGTCCTTTGCCCACCTTGCGATGGGCTCATTTGTTTTACTTTTTTTGTTACTGCGTTTGAGTTCTCTATGGATTCTGGTTATTATTTATCTGTCTGCCTATCTATCTATCATCTATGGCATAAAAATCAAGGGAGAGGTCATAGTCCTGTGACTAAGAGGGGGAACCTTGCACCAAAGTGCCAGTTTTACATGGTGACAATTTCTATACCAGTTTCACCAATTCTCGCATCCGTGAGGGATGAGATGGTATGGAACAATGAGATGCAATTGATATTGCCTTCTAGACTTAATAGAGGGGGAAGGCTTTTCTCTTAGTCCCCAGGGAACCACTCAGAGGCCAAGTCAAGAAAGGCTCAGAGACTGTGTCGACCAATATGGTTTATTTCTGCCCCCAGCCAAGTGTGTGGCCAGGGAAAAGGAACTCCAGGCAGATGCAGTCAATGCTGCTTCCTTGGGTTCAGATGTGACAGGTAATAGCTCAGGTGGCATCGCTCAACCTCATAGTCACCCTTGTTCTTCTTTCTCAGGCAGATGATCATCTGTGAGGGTGAGGAGAAGGCCTCAGAATGGATGGGCATCTGCCCAGGAGGGGAGACCAAGGTGGGAGGGAACATGGCAGAGCTAGAACCCTGATGCTCCTGAGTCTCCCACCTCTTATCTCCTTCAGGTTTTCCTCTTCTCACCTCTTTCTTTCTCTCTCTCTCCCCTTGTACTCTCAATTTTTTTAACTTTCCCCTTTCATTTCTCTCTCTCTCTTTCTCTCAATTTCTTTATCAAAAGCTATCATCTATTAATCATCTATCAGCCATCTATTTATCCATTATCTATCAATATCTGTCAGTCTAGTTATTTGCCAATAAATTATTTATGAATCAGTATCTACCTATCACCTCCCTATCAATCATCTATCAGTTATCTGTCATCTGTCTGTCAACCACCTATAATCTATCAATCATCTATTACTTATGTATCAATATCTATCAACTGATCTATTTATCAATAACCTATCAATTATCTATCGTCTACTTATCATTTACCAATCATCTGTTTTATATATTTCTCATCTATCAATCATATTCCAAGGATGTCTATCATCTAGCTCCTATCTATCAATCATCTATCAATCATGTCTCCTATCTATCATGTTCTCCTGCCTATCATCTGTCACCTATCTACCTATCTGTTGGTTATCAATCATCTAGCTTTCAATTATCTGTCACTTATCTCTTATCTATCTCTCCTATCTTATCTATCAATGAACTCATATCTACCTATCATCTATTATCAAGCAATCATCTATCCCTTATCTCTCATTCTCAGTTTCTTCCATCTCAGCCTCTCTCTCTCCCTCTCCCACACTCCTCCAGTTTAACTGAAGTGTAACTGACACAGAATAAGCTGCACTCATTTATGATTGATTTAGTAACTTTCAATTATAACATTTCGACCCATCACCACACTCAAGATTAAAAAAAAATTAAAAAAAAAAGATAAGGAATGTCCATTCAACATCCCCCAAAGTTTCCTCCTGCTCCTTTATAATTCCTTTTTACCCTTGACAATTGCAAATACATTTTTATTCTCAGGCAACCACTGATCTAATTTCTGTCCCTATTGTAGTTTGTGTTTTCTAGATTTTGTAATGAATGGAATCATATGTACTCTTATTTGTGGCTTCTTTTACTCAGCATAAGTATTTTTCAATTTCTGCAAGTTGTTGCGTGTATTCCTTGTTATTGCAGAATACTGTTTTATTGTTGGGTCATACCTATTGATGGTCACTGGGACTGTTCTCACTTTTGACTATGAACAACAAAGTCATCAAGACCATTTATAGACTAGTCTTTGTGTGGACATATGTTTTCATTTCGCTTGGATAAAGTTCCAAGAGTAGGATGGCTGAGTCATACGGCAGGTATATGTAATTTCGAAAGAAATAGCCAACCTATTTTCTACTAGCACTCTATTAGACTTATAGTTACCCCACATCTTCACCAACACTTGTCATTGTCAGTCTTAAATTTTAGCTATTTTTGTGTGTTAGCAGTATTTTATTGCAGCTTCATGTACATTTCCGTAAAGACTAATGTTAAATTTTTGAGATCTATTGCACCACAAGGGTGCATTTAATCATAATATGATGCATATTTCAAAATTGCTAAGTTCTTAGATATTTGGATCACAAACAAATGATAAGCATGAGAGGTGATAGATATGTTAAAGAGCTTGATTTAACAATTTCATAGTGTCATATATCTAAGAATCACATTGTACTGTACCCTGAATACACACACATATATTTATTATTTGTCAATTAAAAGCAAAATAAAGAAAGAAAATAAAAATGCAAACCACACATAAACTAGAAGTAAATATTATGCAAACATATATCCAAGGCTGGGTATGGTGGCTCATGCCTATAATCCCAGCACTCTGGGATGCCAAGGCAAGAGGATCCCTTGAGCTCAGGAGTTCATGACCAGCCTGAGAAAGTGTGAGAACCCATCTCCATTAACAATAGAAAAAATTAGCCAGGTGTTGTGATGGCTAGGTACTTGAGGAGCTGAAGGAAGAGGATTGCTTGAACCTAGGAGTTTGAGGCTTCTGGGAGCTGAGTTGATACCATGGTACTGTAGCTTGGAGCAAGAGAGTCAGATTGTCTCAAAAAAACCCAACAACAAACAAAAAGAAATCCCATACACCCAGTAAAGGACTTGTGTTGATAATAAAATATATTGAAAGTTCTTATAACCCATTAGTATGAAGACAAGCAACCCTTCCTTGCTCACCAGGTAACCAGCGAGGAGGCATATCATGAGTCCTGCCAGGGCAATGAGGATGATGGCCCAGAAGGGAAGACCTGGGGAGATAAAGCAAGGGTGAGTCACCTCCCACCACCTCCCAGGGCTCCTTCTTAGACTCTCTGTTGACTGAAGATGGGAATAGCCCCAAGGAGCAAAGTTCAACACATCACGGCTTTCAAAGAAGTGGATCACTAGGAGGCTGGGACTCTGCTATTGCTTTACTATGCCTTAAAAGTCCTTGACATGGCTGGCTAACTTTCATCATCATCCAAGACTCTGCATGGCCATTGGCCCTTGACAAGGCAAAGCATTGGGTTGCCTCCTCCATTCTCTGGGCTGGGCTTCTTTGAGTCTTACCAGAATTCTCAGTCAAGGGATCTCTATTGGGAGAATACCCTAGAAATGAAAAAAATGGAGAGCACACATGAATGCATTTTACTCTTTTAAACAAAACTTTTCAAACATGCAGAAAAGCAGAGAGAACATTATAGTATCTATTACTTTGATTTAATGATTTATATTTCATCCAATTTATGTATTACTGATAGTTGGTAACTTTAATTCTTCCAATGTTTTCGTTGAAATTTTTAGAGTCAAGTAGACATCAGGACATTTCACTCCTAATACTTTAATTTGTATCTTTATAAAAAAAGAAAGAACACTTTGCTATATAAGCAGGAGGCCGTTATTTTACCCATGGTATAATAAATTCATGCCTAGGTGTGGAGGACCTAAACTGGGCTACACTTCATGGTGGTTGGTGATGTGGAGAATGGACCATCACAGCCAGGAACCCATTGGATCTCTCTAAATTTATTCTCACTCAAAACTATTTTTCCTCTGCCTAGAAACACATTCAAATATTCAAACTCTTCTTTATCACTTTATTGTTTTATCTTCATTTTCTGGTATTCACTTTCCACCAGGGAGTGTCATTTCCTCCAGGGAGCCTTCTCTGATGATCACCCCAAGCACAGATACATTCACATCACATAATTTATCACTGATGACTGCCTATTCTGGTTTTTCCTAACTATAGCATAAACAGCATGAGGACAGGGAGGGGAAGCAACATTCGGGCACGGCAGGAAGGGTTGCGGGGTTTTCTACATCTACCAACTCTTTTTAGCCAATTTTTTAAAGACATGCAATGTGGGGCATCTATAAATGGCTTTTTAAATTAAAAATACACAGTGGGGTGGGGGGTGGGGAGAGCTGAGAAAGGAAAAGAAGGAGGGAGTGGGAGGACAAGGGTGTGGTACACCTTTTGGGGGGGACAAAATTATAAGAAGATCCTTATCTAACAAAAACAATCAATGTAACCTGGTTTTGTGTACCCTCAGTGAATCCCCAACAATAAAAAACAATAATAAAATAAAATAAAAACTCCAGTACCTCAGTCCCATTCACCATACTTCAAGTGTTCAGTAACAAATGTGGCTACTGTGCCAGCACTGAGGTAAACTTTTTCTTTTTTTTAATCATTGCAGAACGCTTTACTTGCTAGTGCTAACTCAGAGCAAGGTTTGGTCAACTACAATCACGTTAGTGTCATGGCATATTTTCATACAGCCTGTGAGTCAATAGTAGTTTTCATCTTTTTAAAAAAGGATGTATTCAATACTATGTTGAAACTAGTAGATCAACAACAGGCCCACACAAGAGAAAAGCACAATTCAATTAAAAAGGGGGGGGGGAGGGCATTTGTATTTGATAAGTTCCCACCTAATGGGCATACTTTTTGGGTAAAGGATTCAACTACAACTTGGACTTTACCTTATAAACGTGAATGATGCAACCTAATCACATGTACCCTCATATTAATCCAAAATAAAAAAAAGCAAACCAACAAACAAAAATGAATTGATGAAACAAGAAGGTGAAAAACATGTGACAGACATGCAAAAGATATGCTGAATCTTGTACAACAATAATTTAGGACCAAGGACAGTGCACATAAGTACCAGAAGTTCTCATGTTATTCACACTCAACCTAAGAGGGACATTGTATGAGATCTAGTTATTCCTTCTATAAATATGTATTGAGTGTTTATTATATGCCGGGCAGAATATGACATTCTTGGAATATAATGGCAAATAAGCAGACAGCCACTCTCTCACCATATGCATGGTACAATGCGCATAACCGTTATTGGATGGATAAACTTGGATATGCAAGGTTTAGACACCTCTGGAGTTGGGAGAATAGGTTTATCAGCTATGTTGGTTAAGGTGGATCACATAGGACTTGAAACTGGAAGGCCTCACTGACTACCTCACCATGTGGCTTGCAGTACAGAGATAAGGAGAAAGTCCAGAGGGGAGAAGTGACTAGCCTAAGGTGACAGGGCCACACAGGAGAGGGTAGATGCCTTTCATATCATATCATATCTCACTGGGTATTGTTTTTCCTCTCCTTCAATGGTGGGGAAGGCCTAGGAACTATGCCACTTTTTCTTAGTCTGAGAAGGCACAATGCTTTGTCATCCCCAAGCTTCCAGATTCCCAGTGAAGGCTATGGGTGTGGAAGATAGAGCCTCTACCAATGACCAGGGAGCCTTACCATCCACAAAGATGCTGTTCTTGTCTAGGGTGAAGTTCTGCAGCTGGGTACCATTCTGGGTCATCTGTAAGAATTCCTTATAGATGGTAACTCTGTCTGGTCTCTGAGTCAGTGGGAAGAAGTGACACAGGGAGTCTACTCCGGTGTGACTGTTGTGAGGAATGGGCCTGGAAGGAGACAAGGATGAATAAAGGTATTTGGAATTCTATCCTGATTCCAGGTTCCCTTCTGCTGGGTCCAGTCCAAAAGAACTTTCTATGATGATGTGAACATTTTGTGTCTTCACTATCCTGTATAGTCATTATTAGTGTCATGTTGTTATTAGACACTTAAAATGTGGCCAGTGTGGGTGAGGAGCTGAATTGCTAATCATATTTCATTTAATTAGTTTGAAAATAGCCACAGGGATAATGTTTCTGAATTGTTGGAGTAAGAACTTTTGAAAATCCATAAAAAACAATGAGAACGCTGGCTGAAATTGTCAAAATCAACTCTTTATAGAAGTCTGAAAATTAATCAAAGGCCTATAACAATCTAAGGAGTGTGTAGTTATAAAAAGTGTTGAATCTTGGTAAAGAAAATAAAATTTGCAGCATTTTAACATGCATTATTTCCACAGAGCTCTCCCAGGGCCTTTAGTAATTTTGAAAACAAGAAGTACCTATGAAAACCAGTTGCCAAGCAGACAAAATGGGTTTGGAAATCCCCAAACACATATCTCCAGAGAAATGTCACTATTTGATCTATGTGAAAGTTCCTCAAAAAAAGCACTATTTTGACTGGGCATGGTGACTCATGCCTATAATCCTAGCACTCTGGAGGCCAAGGAGCATGGATTGCTTGAGCTCAGGAGTTCGAGACCAGCTTGAGCAAGAGTGAGACCCCATCTCTACTAAAAATAGAATAACTAGCTGGGCACTGTGGCAGGTGCCTATAGTTCCAGTTACTTGGGAGGCTGAGGCAAGAGGATCACTTGAACCCAGGAATTTAAGGTTGCTGTGAGCTATGACTCCATTGCACTCTACCCAGGGCAACAGAGTGAGATTCTGTCTCAAAAAAGAAAGCTCAGTGAGGAAAGCCTATTCCCAGGGTGATTGTCAAAAATAATCAATGATAATTGTTTAATATTGCAGCTTCCCAAGGAGGTGTTACCAGATGGAGGAGGCAATAGATGAGTCAAACACTTAAAAAGAAAATTTGGGGGAATAAATTGTCTATAGGGGTCTTTGAAAAGCTCTGACAGGCTAAAAATGTGCATGACTATGCAGACGACCAGGCGAGACTTGAGAAAGCCTTAATCTCTTACCTCTAGATACAAGATTGGCTTACTGTCTGAAAAACTGGTCAATGTAATACACCATATTAACAGAATAAAGGACAAAAGCCACACACTCTTGATAGACACAGAGAAAACATTTGACAAAATATAAAAACCTTTCATGATTAAAAATACCCATCAAAATCAACAAACTAGGACTAGAGAGAAATTTCCTCAACAGGATTAAGAGCATCTGTGAAAAACCCATAGCTAACATCATACTAATGGTGAAAGATTGAAAACTTTTCCAAGACCAAGAACAAGACAAGGATGTTTGTCTTCACTCCATATGTTATTCACATTGTACTGGAGTTTCCAATGGGATTATTAGGCAAGATAAATAAACAAACAAAAGGCATCCAGATTAGAAAAGATGATGTAAAATTATTTCTGTTTGGAGATGACAGGATATCATATAGACAAAAATCCTAAGAAATACACATACGTTACTAAAACCTATTAATTTAATATGACCATAGGATATAAAACCAACACACAAAAATCAATTGTAATTCTATATGCTAGGAATTAAAATTCTGAAAATGAAATTAAAAAAATCCATTTACAATAGCATCAAAGAGTAAATTAAAAATACTGAGGAACAAATTTAACAAATAAGTACCAGACCTGTATACTGAAAACTACAGAACAATGTTGAAAGAAATTTAAGAAGATCTGAGTAAATGGAAATGCATTCTATGTTCATGGATTAGAGATTTAATGTTGTAAAATGACAAGACTCTTTAGGTTGATCTATGATTCAATGTGATCACTATCAAAATCTCAGCTAGCTCTGACTCAGAACCTGTAGCTCAGTGAGTAGGGCGCCGGCTACATACACCAAGGCTGGTGGGTTTGAGCCCAACCCAGGCCTGCTAAACAACAATAACAACTGCAACCAAAAAATAGCCAGGTGTTGTGGCAGGTGCCTATAGTTCCAGCTATTTGGGAGGCTGAGGCAAAAGAATCACTTAAGTCCAAAAATTGGAGGTTGCTGTGAGCTGTGATGCCAAAGCACTCTATCAAGCACAACCTAGTGAGACTCTGTGTCAAAAAAAAAAAAAAAAATCTCAGCTAGCTCTTTTGAAGAAATTGACAATTGATTCTAAAATTCATATGAAGTTGCAATGGACCTCTAATAACCAAACTAGAATTGAGAAAGAACAAAGATAAAGAGCTCTACTTTCCAATTTCAAAATTTATTATGAAGTTATAGTAGTCAAAAGTACCTTCATATTAATCTGAAAAAAAAAAAAAAGAGACAGGGTCTTGCTCTTGTCTAGGCTGGTCTGGAACTTCTGAGCTCAAGTTATCTTCCAGCCTTGGCCTCTCAGAGTGCTGGGATTACAGGCAATAGCCACCACCACATTTGGCCTGATTTCTTAGCCCACGTAATTTAGTGGATTCTATACTCTAGATTCCATGGCTCCTAGCACCAAGCAGGTAGCTCTATGTCTGCTGAGATTTACAGATACTCTCTTGAGTTTCTAACCCAGTTTAAGAGAAAGCTGGCTTTTTACTTTTATTTTTCACTTATTTATATATTTTTTTCAGTTACAGATCTATATTCCTTGGGTTCTCATCCACAGCTTTAGCTTGAGGGACACTTATTTAATGAACAGAAATCCCGAGAGTCTTTAGGTCCTGATTTGGAACTCACCTGAATGCTAAAACTTGACAGTCAGAAAAATTGCTCTTGATGCTGCTGTTATGGAAGAGTTTGTTGAGCTGAAAGACAGGACATTTCTTAGGTCAGCCCCAAGGCCCAGTAGCATCGAGAGAAGTTTTAGCCACTGAGGATACCTCCTCATCTATTTTTTTCCTTGCTGCAACAAATACCAGCCCAGGCATGTGTATCAAAGGATGTCCTGTCCCACACTGACTTAGCTGTTTGACCCTGGGCCAACTCTGAGCCTCTCTGTGCCTGTGTCGTAATTTGTAAAATGGGAATAAAAACCCATTTTCATGAAGTGTTTAAAAACCCACCCTCTGACCAGCCAGCATCCATAGGTTAGTCTCTGCATGGCACACCACCCCATTCTCACCGCATCCTCGATACTCCTTTTGTTTTGCTGGTGTTTGCCAGTGTTTGGCTGGACTATGTCCTGGGAATATAGAAGATTGGTGATGGTGAAATTCAGCTGAAAGTGCTGAGGGGTGGAACTGATTATTGGTTGTCCAGTGGGTGAACCAAGAGGTGTCTTCATTTCTAAAATTAAAAAAAAAAGCATGTAAAAATCCCATATCAAGAAAGAATACTTTTATGGAAAACTGTATGGAGATTCCTCAAAGAAATAAATGTAGACCTACCATTTGAGCTGGAAATCCCATTGCTGGGGATACATCCAACGGAAAAGAAGTCAATTTAGCAAAAAGACAATTTAACTTGAATGTTTATCACAGCACAATTCACAACTGCAGAGATGTAGAATCAACGTAAGCATCTATCAATTTTTGAGTGTATAAAGAAAACATGGTGTGTGTATGTGTGTGTGTGTATACACACATGCCATAGGGTTACTCAGCCATCAAAAGGAATGAAATAATTTCATCTGTAGAAATTTGGATGGTACCAGAGACCATTATCCTAGGCAAAGTGTCTCAGGAATAGATAAATGCCACAAATGCCACATGTTCTCACTTATAAGTGGGAGCTAAATCATGGGTACACATCATCACAAAGAGGTGTAACTGACATTGGAATCCAACAAATGGGGAGGGCGTAAGGGATAAAAATATCTACTCATTGGGTACAATGAATGTTATCTGGTGACAGGTATACCAAAAGCCCTGACTTAAGCATTATACAAGGTATCCATATAACAAAAACATTTGTACCCCCTTAATATATTGAAATTACAATGTGGACTACTCTTACTGGTATCTTAAAGTGGTTTTTGTTTGCATTTCTCTGATGATAAAAGACAATGAGCATTTTTTCATGTGTATCCAATGTACTCAGTCCTACTATGAAACCAATTTATAATCACTCACGCTTTCATATGAGAGATGAATCACAACTATAGCCCAAGATGAAGGAGGGAAGGGAAGGAGGATGGGAAGGGAGAGGGGTGGTTTGATAGAGGAAGGGTTAATGGTGGGACCACACCTATGGAGCATATTGCAAGGGTACAAGTCAAATCTATTAAGCATTGAACACAAATGTCTTAACACTGTGATTAAGTAAATGAGGTGAATTATGTTAATTAGTAGGATGTAAGCACTCCAATTTGTACCAATAATCAACACATCAAATCCCACAAAGGCATAAATGTACTCATGATCTATGTATATATGACTTAATAAAAAAATTGAAATAAAAAAAGATTCATAAAAAGAGAAAGTTTTAAGAAAGTGGTCATTTCAGCCAGCATACTTATTTCTGGCAGTGTGAGCTGAGCTGAATTTTTACAAAGACCCTCTCTCCACCTGTCCAACTGCTATCTATTTACCTGTTTACCTGTCCAGCTTTATTTCTACCAAGTGTTATAAGATTTTAATACAATGTGAGGAAAAGAGACCATGTCTCCCTGGGGCATCGTAAGCATATGTAGGTGCTAAACAACCCTGTGGGCATTTGTCACACTTTTGCTGAAACTCTGATTGATGACTAGGTTTCAAGTGGGTCTTCCCACCCCTGGTCTTGTCCTCTCACCCCATTCTCCACACTGCACCCAAAGGATAAGCAGAACTCATTTTTCTTTCTTCATTTCTTCCCTCATTCCCTCCCTTCTTTTATTCCTTTTTTTGGACAGACTCTCACTCTGTTGCCCAGGCTGGAGTACAGTGCTGTCATCATAGCTCGTAGCAACCTCCAACTCATGAGCTCAAGTGATCCTCATGCCTCAGGTTTCCAAGTAGCTGGGACTATGGGTGCCTACCACAAAACTTAATTTTTCTATTTTTTGTAGAGGTGGGGGTCTTACTCTTGCTCTGGTTGGTCTCAAACTCCTGGCCTCAGGTAATCCTCCTGCCTTGACCTCTACGAGAGATAGCTAGGATTGCAGGTGTCAGCTACCACCCCTGGCTGCCTTACTGATTATTAAGGGGCCCAAGAGGGCAACTCAGGATCTTCCTACATTTGGGGTCAGGAAAATCCACATGTAGAAAGCACCATTTCTGGCTTGGTGCCTGTAGCACAGTGGTTATTGTGCCAGCCACATACACTAAGGCTGGCAGGTTTGAACCTAGCCCAGGCCAGCTAAATAATGACAATTGCAACAAAAAAATAACTAGGCATTGTGGTGGGCACTGGGAGGCTGAGCCAAGAGAATTGCTTAAGCCCAAGAGTTTGAGGTTTTGAGGTTGCTGTGAGCTGTGATGCCATCGCACTCTACTGAGGGTGACATAGTGAGACTCTGTCTAAAAAAAAAAAAGTACCATTTCTATGTGGGTGTGACTGCTTCATGTTCTCTTCCTGCCTCTGCTGAGCATCCCACTGCCAGAGGTCACCAATGTGGGCCTTCAGAAATTTCCCCTTTCCCCATCTAAAGCCAACACCTATTCTAGGACTATTCAGATGCCCCATCCTTCATCATATATTCCCATCTCTTCCAGTTATGAAGCCAGCCGCCCCACTGTGTACCTGTCACATGTAGATCTGTCAACTGGTAGGTGGCGCCCAGCCAGTGAGATGAGCCATTCAGGGTCTTATTTAGAAAGACTTGCTCCACCAAGTGGGGGTCCAGATTGGAGGAGAACTGTGCCTTGACAGTGACCCACATGGGGTTCAACCTAAGGACAGAGACATGGGAATTCAACCATCACTCAACCCCATTTATGTCTCAAATTGCTATCATCTTTAAAGAGGCAGAGACATGGAGACATGCTGTGGGAGGGGAGTTGTCTAATTGACTCCTCCCCCTGTCTGGAGAACAAAGCAGGAGGGCTTCTGGGGATTGGAACCGGAAACAGTGATAGTAACAATGATGAACATTTGCTGAGTGCTTGCTACATAGATCAGGACTCCTAAGAGGTAGTTTATACATCCCTCCACCATCATTCTGATGAAAGGTAGTATTATAATTATCCCTACCTTAAAGCCAAAAAGCCCCTGATGTTGGGAAATATTCAAAGTCATCCCTGTGTCCTCTTCTCAAATACAGATATCTTAGTTCCTTTGCCCCACCCTTCTAGGTTCAAATTTCAACTTTTACAGTTCTCTGAGCCTCAGTTTTCCCATATGAGCAAGAGGAATGATCCTGGTACCCACCTCATGGGGTCTTCCATGAACATTAAACAAGGTGACTACACATGCACATGCTCACTGGGGAGACTAGCTGGTGGTGAACATTATTACTGGGCTGACATTTTGAATTCTACATCAAAAAGTTCTCTTTCCCAAATGTCCAGAGGAAAAAAGGAGGTGGATACTGGGAGTCACTGGTTCTATGAGGTGAATCCTCATTGCCTGCTCTGCAGATTTATGGAAGGTGGTAGTAGGATTCACTGACAGAAACCAATGGGAAGCAAGGTGAGGACTTCCAGCTCAAGGATGTGTCAGGTGCTCAGAAGCACAGCCGCTGGCTTGGCCAGTGCATCCGACCTTCTGAACTTACATCAGGTTTGTGACCAGGCAGGTGCGGAATGTGTCTCGTAACTGGCTGCCTACGTAGAGTGCAGTGACCTGGAAGGAAGGGCAGGGAGAGTGGCTGGGGACTAAGGTCCCTTGGGGTGGAGGGGTCACTGGAGTTGGTGGGAAAAACAGAGGCCTTGAAGCAAAAGAGACCCAAGTTTGAATCCTGCTGCTGTGCCTAAATGAACCATGTGACTTTAGGCACATGATGCCCCTTTCTGAGCCTCAATTTTCCACATAGGAAGTAAGAAAGGCAGTCAGGGCACCACCCTTGGCAATGGAAAGAAGCTAGGACATGTAGGTAAAGAGTTGTTGAAACAATCACTTAACAGATGGAGGAGTGATCGAGGCACCCAGAACAGGGAGAGGAGGGAGCAGAGAGAGGCCCCACCTTGTCCTGGATGTCCCTTTGTAGGGTGGCAGACTCTGAGGAGTTGGCACCTGGATGCCTGAGGTTCCAGTTGATGATGTGGAAAATCAGCTGGTACTCACTTAGGACCGGTACTTTCTGGCCTGGAGCCACAGAGAGGAAGAAAAGACTGGTGGGGGCCCTTAGCGTTTTTTTTTTTTTTTTTTGCACAGAGCTGAGATGTCCCAGGGGACAGAATCAGCCCAAATCAGATCCAAATGCTTGGGGAGAGAGGGTACAGGGACTCCTAAATGGAAAGTTACTTGGGGGAGGGGACTGGAATTTTACAAGGGTTCTCTAGAGGTGAGATTTCCTGCTATGTGGTTCCACTTCCAGGAATGTACTTCTGTCCTTTCATTTTCCTAAAAAACTATTCATGCTTCAAAGGCCCAGTGAGATGGAGTTCCAGGAGAACAGTGGCCTATCCAGCTTAATCTTCTTAACTTGGTATTCAAGATCCTTCCCAATTTGGCTCCAGGGGACCTTTCAGCTTCATTTATTCATCCTCTCTGGGTTAAAGGTTTAGACTTTATGAAAACCAAATTCCTTTCAATTCTCCCCATACACTATGATGTTTCTGGCCACTGAGACTTTGCTCACAAAATCCCCTCTGCCAGGCACACTCTTCATGCCCTTTTTGCCTGAATCACTCTTACTCATCCTTACAGACTCAATTTAGGTGAAACTTTCTCCAGGGAGCTCTCACCCACCAAACTATACCGGGTGTTTCTTCCCCAAACATCTCACATTGTGTTATAAAGGTCTGTTTGATCTCATGAGACTGGGTGCTCCATGAGGGCATGTGCCTGATTGGACTGCTAATCTAATCTTTGCAACTAGGATGATCACCCTGACACTAGAATCTTCACACCCTTGCTTCCAAGCTCCTGTGTGACAATCTTCTGGTGAGGGTGTGGGGCTAAGAAACCTCTCTTGGGAAGAAAAAGGAACTCCAGATACCTGTGGTATCTCCTGGAGAAGGCTGGAATGTCGTAACTGGCACAAGAGCTGTGGAAAGAACCCAGAAAGGGATATCTGAGAGGAACAGAGCCCCCCACATACTGGAAGAAGCCCCTTTACCTGGGATACAATAATGGCCCAAGCCAGAACAACCATGCAAAAGTGGGCCATAAATGAGAGTGAGGGAAAGAATGATTGTGTGAATGGAGGAGGTGAGCAGGCCTGTGAATGAAATTAACCCGAAAGGGTGAGAGTGGGGTGAACAAGGGAAAGACTGAACAAAGAAGACAGATAGATGGACAGATAGAGAAGTGGAAAGGTTAAATGGATAGACAAAAGGAAGAATATAAAAATGGTAGAGAGAGAGAAAGCAAGAAGAATAAAAACAAAGAAGAGAAGTTGGAGAGATGGAAGGACAAAGGGAGGAAGAAGAAACAGGTGAATGGGAGAATAGGAGGATGGATGGATGGATGGATGGTTGGATAGAAAAATAAGATGGATAAGTGGCTGGGTGGATGGATGGGTAGATGGAAGGATAGAAGGATGGATGGGTAGGTGGAAGGATAGATGGAAGGGTTGATAAATGGGTGGGTAAAAGATGGATGGATGGGTGAATGGAAGGATGTGTGGGTGGATGGATGGATGGGTAGGTGGAAGGATAGATGGATGAGTCGATGAATGGATGGGTAAATGGAAGGATGGGTGAGTGGATGGATGAATGGAAAGACAGAGGGTGAATGGCTATGAGGATGGGTGGGTGGATGAGTAGATGGATGGATGCTTCCTAAAAGGAGAGATGGCTGGGAAGATAGATGAGTGGACCACTGGATGAGAGAATAGTCAAACTTAGCCAGTAACTACCGAGTAGCCCCAGAATTTCTAGTTTGACAACAAAGCTCCACTAGAGTCCTCATGGGAGACTTTGCTATCAGGAAGAATGGACTACAACATTTCATCTTCTGACCTGAACCCTCATCCCTGTAGGCAATTCTTGTTCAAACTTCTGCCTCCAACCCAGAGGGGTGTGGAAAATTCAGAAAGCCAATAATACTATGGCTGAAAGTTTAAAAAGAACCCAAGGACTCAGCATTCTTCTGCCCACTGAGACACTGTCCCCCCTTAGGAGACCAGCCTGAATTTGGGGTAAGCTCCCTTTATGAATGAGGAGAACATCTTGACCCAAGACCTACAAAAGTTGAAATGGGCACTGGATTGAAAGACACGTACTTGTAGGAGGTTTATCTGGACCACGTTCATTATAACCTGGAAGCAAAAAAGTTACACATAAGGAGAAGTGACACAACAGTCCCAGATACTCCCTGCCTCTGCCTATGTGGGGCCTCTACCTGGATGCTTTTCTGTCTGTGTATCTGGTAAGCATTTATACACCTCCCAAGATATGACTTAAATGTTATCTCCACCGAAAAGGATTTCCTTATTATTTTATTAGACCCCTCTTTCTGACCTACCTCTCTTGGCATGTTCCCCAAAAAGGCTCTCACCTTTATGTTCAGACATCTGTCCTATCATTCATCCACCCCCATCACCCCTTCCACTTTCCCTCCAATCTATTCCTCTATCCAGTCAATATTTATTGAGGGCTTGCAATGTGTGAGGTTCCATTTACATTTGTGGAATATAGTGCTGAACAAAACAGTTTCTGCCCCACTGGAGTTTACATTAGGACAGGGTGCATATGCAAACTAGCTCTATCATGGAGCTGGGCACAAGTCCTGGCTTATATGCTTGGTCACTCTGAGTGAACAAACAAAATGAAACACATAAACTGTGCAGTTTGCCAGGGGAAAACTTTAAACAGGTCCCGCAATGGCCATGTCAAAGGGATCAGATGTGAACTGAGGACATCAAGACCCAACCTGCATTCACAATAGCCAAGAAATGGAATCAAGCCTAGTGTCCATCAGCTGAGGACTGGCTGAACAAAATGTGCTGTACATACAGAGTGGAATACTATCGAGCCACAAAAAAGAATAAACTCATGTCTGCTGCAGCAGCACAGATGGGAATGGAGGCCATCATCTTAAGTAAACAAGTCAGACACAGAAAGACAAGTATTGCATGTTCTGACTTATAAGTGGGAGCTAAATAATGTGTATACATGGATGTAGAGAGTGGACTGATGGACCATGGAGACTTGGAAGGGTTGAGGGAAGAGGAATGGAGCATGAGAAATTAATGGGGACAATGTCCATTACTTGGACAGTGGATAACTTCATCAGTACACAATCTATGCATGTAATAAAATGGCACTTTTACCCCATAAATTTAAATATTAATAGGACATCAAAACCTAGACTTCCCACAAACCTACCGTGGGAATTGGTGGGTGCTTGCCTCTCTCCGTGCCTTGATTTCCCCCTTTGCTATCCTGGTATGTCATGTTAAGTGATATGGGGCACCCATTGCATGGGGCAATGGTGATAATTGAATATGCGTAGACAAGTACCTTTCCCAGGTTGGGGAGGGAAAAGGAGCCATTTGACCAATCTCTCCATGATCATACTTTTGCCCTCAGAACCCCATACCTTCTTAAATGCTGTGTTTTCCTTGGTTCTGGGCCAATGCTGACAGTGTACCTGAAGCTTAGACCCCCTAGATCTTCCTAGTGTAGGGGCTCCCATCCATAGCAGAAGTGTATCCCACTTCAAGGGTGAGGAGAAAGCAGGGAGGGGAAACAGATGTATTTTATTTCTCCAGATCTCCCCCAGAAACACTGTTCTGTGAGTTAAACACATAGAGTAGAACATGGTATCGAACGGTGACAAGTTGTACTCATGCCACTACTCTCAAGCTATATCTACTTGGGTAAATTGCTTAACCTAAGTCTTAGTTTCTTCATCTATAAAATGGGATTAAGCAAAGACCAACCTTGCAGGATAGCGCTCTCTCTCTCTCTCTCTCTCTCTCGCTCTCTCTGTGTGTGTGTGTGTGTATGGTGGACCTCGGATTTAAATCCTAAGTCTCCCCCTAGAGAACAAATAAATAGACACCTTCTTGGGCTGCAGGGGTTGGGGGCTAGGGAGGTAGGCTGCTCACCATTAACATAGAGGCTGTCTTTGTCCAGAGAGTAGGGCCCCAGCTGGGTGATGCCGTAGGTCTGCCCACTCAGCTCATGGAACACCCGCTTGGCAAGCAGAACCGGGGCACCATGTGGCTGCCAGTAGGCGCAGAACATGTCCACCTGTGTGTGGCTGCCTTTCTTGAGGGGCCTGAGGAGAAAGAGAGGGATCTTTGGGGGAGGCAGGCCACTGGGAACCTCTCTACTTGTGGCCACTGCACCCCTCACAGCCCAGGAACCAGCCTTGTTGAACTCTCTGCAGCTTCTCCACCTGGTAATAATCTCTCATATCAAGATCTTTGCATTTGTAGTTACTTTTGTCTTGGAGCTTCTCTGCTTCCCTCAATTTTTGGTCATCCTCCAGGTCTTGGGTTAGAAGATGAATAATCCTCATTGTCACCATCATTTTCTTCTTCCCCCAGGAACCTTCCTAGGCTAGGTAAGGGAGCTCTTCTTGGTCCCCCAGCACCCCAACCCTCCCCGACTACTGCCCTGGCCACCCTCTGTGTAATCATAAATCTTCTATCCTTTCCAGAATGTGGCCTTCATGAGGAAGTAAAGAGGCCAGTTTACTTTCCCATTGTTATATTGCAGCACTCTGCCAACCTCATGCAAAAATGAAAGTCCTAATGACTGGATTCAAAACACGTGGCATTTACACACAAATGGAATATTATTCAGCTCTGAAAAGGAAGGAAATTCTGAGACATGCTGCAGGATAGGTGAAGCTTGAGGACATTGTGCTCAGTGAAATATGCCAGTTGATTTCCATGAGGTCCCTAGAGGAGTCAGAATCATAGAGACAGAAAGTAGGATGGTGGGTGCCAGGGGCTGGGGAGTTTTTGTTTAATGGGCAAAGAGTTTCAGTTTGGGAAGATGACAAAGTTTTGGAAATGGATAATGATGATGGTTGCATAGCAATGTGAAGATACTTAATAATACTGAACTGTACACTTAAAAATGGTTAAGAAGGTAAATTTTATGTTATGTACATTTTACTACAATTTAAAAAACCCCTGAAATCCTCCAAATCCCTCCACAGTGTAGGCCCTGCTGATGCCTCAAATCTCATCTTTTTCCTCTTTCCTTCTTTCTCTCTCTGCTCCAGCCATAGTCACCTCTTTACTGTTCATTGAATGACAAGCTCATTCTCATACCAGAGAATCTTTGCACATGTTCTTTTCTCTTCATGGAGCAATTTCCATGGGTATTTGGGACCCAACTCAAAAGTATCACTGGCCAGCCTGAGCTAGAGCAAGACCCTATTTCTAAAAATAGCTGGGCATTGTGGTGGGCACCTGTAGTCCCAGCTCCTTAAGAGGCTGAGGTAATTCCACCAATCACGCCTATGGTTCGCCCTATAAGGGTACATGTGAATCTCTCTAAATGTAGAATATAAATGTCTTAACACAATAACTAGGAAAATGACATGAAATCTATGTTAACCAGTTGGATGAAAGTATTTCAAATTGTATATAGAAACAACACACTGTACCCCATGATAGTATTAATGTACACAGCTATGATTTAATAAAAAAAAAAAAGAGGTTGAAGTAAGAGAATTGCTTAAGCCCAAGAGTTTGAGGTTTCTGTGAGCTGACACCATTGCACTCTACCGAGGGTGACAAAGTGAGACTCTGTCTCAAATAAAAATAAATAACAAAATAAAAAATAAAGGCTCAGCACCTGTAGCACAGTGGTTACAGTACCAGCCACATACACTGAGCCTGGTGGGTTCGAACCCAGCCCAGGCAAGCTAAACAACAAAAAATAACTGTGCATTGTGGCGGGTGCCTATAGTTCCAGCTACTTGGGAGGCTGAGGCAAGTGAATAGCTTGGGCCCAAGAGTTTGAGGTTGCTACGAGCTATGATGCCACAGCACTCTACTCAGGGCAATACAGTGAGACTGTCTCAAAAAGAAAAAACCACACACATATCCCAGCAAACACTATTCCTGGGTAAAGTTTCTTTTTCCATCACTCTGTATATCCAGATCACTTCACCCCATTTGAAATCACTTTCTTAGATATTTATGTTCCTGCTTAGTGTCTATTCTTCTCCACCAGCCGAGGGCAGGAATAGTATCTGTCTTATTACTCTGCACTCACAGCCTGCCTCTGAGAATTGCTGCCAAAGGCACAGTTGAGGAAAAATGTAAATAGAAAAGTGTGTAATAAATAGCAATAGAATGTAAATTGACCTAAGGCAATGAGAGTGATTGGTTGATGGGTTCAGAGTTTCTGCTCAGGGTGATAAAAAAGTATTGGCAAAAAATGGTAGTGATGCCTGCACAATACTGTGAATATAATTTATGCCACTGAATTGCACACTTAAACATGCATTAAATAGTTAACATTTTATGTTACATGTAGTTGAACCGTAATATAAAAATTAATGATGTAAAATTTTAAAATGGATGTGGAAAAGGATCTTCCAAAAATAGCCTGCACTGTATATGTCCAAAGGAAAGAAGATTAGCATCTCAGAGGGATATCCGCATTCCCACATTCATTGCAGCATCATTCACAATAGCCCAGATGTGGAAACAACCTAAGTGACCTTTAACAATGAAGGGACACAGAGAATATAAATACACAATGGCATACCTAACACAATGAAATGTTACTCAGATTTTAAAGGGGAGCAATCCATGCCATTTGGGACAACATGGATGAACCTGGAAGGCATTATACTAAGTGAAATAAGCCAGACACAGAAAGAAAAATAGCTCACTTACATGGGAATCTCAAATGGCCTCACAGAAGCAGAGAGTGTGATAGGATGGGAGGAAGGGAGAAGGGGGTGATGTTGGTCAAAGGATACTAAGAAGTGATAGATGTATTGATTAGCCAGAATATGGCCATTGTTTTATGATGTACATCAAAACATGAAGTTGTATTCTTTAAATATACCACCTTACTCTTGTCAGAACAGCCATTATTAAAAAGCCAAAAACCAACAGAAAACAGGATGGAGATTCCTCAGAGAACTAACAGCAAACCCACCATTTGATCCATTAATCCCATGACTTACCCAAAGGAAGACAAGTTACTTTATATATTAAAAAAAAACCAAAAAACAAACAGACACCTGCACCTGAATGTTCATTGGCAGCAAAATTCATGACTGTGGAGATGTGAAATCAACCTAAATGCCCATCAACAGGCAAGTGGATAAAGATAATGTGGTGTTTATATGCCATGGAGAACTACTCAGTCACAAAAAGGAATGAAATAATGCCTTTCACAGTAATTTGGATGGAACTAGATAGAGCCTGTTTTCCTCAGTGAAATATCTCAGGAAAGGACAAAGAAATACCGCATTCTCACTTATAAAATGAGAGTTAATTGAAAGGTATATACAGTCATAAACTGGCATAAAGTATCAGTCCCCACTTTTTTGACACCAGAGGCCAGTTTCATGGAATACAATTTTGCCATGGACTGGGGTGCGGGGGAAGGCTTTGATATGAGTCTATAAGCAATTGATTTATTATGGTCTCTGTGCAGTCAAACTTCTCTGCTAATGATAATCCATATTTCCAGCCACTCCCCAGAGTTCATCTCCACCTCAGATCATCAGGCATTAGATTCTCATAAGTAGTGCTTGACCTAGATCCTTCACATGCACACTTTACAGTAGGGTCCACACTCCTATGAGAATCTAATGCTGCCCCTGATATGGCAGGAGGCAGAGCTCAGGCAGTGATGCCAGTGATGGGGAGTGGCTGTAAATATAGATGAAGCTTAGCTTGTTCACCTGCCAATCACCTCCTGCTGTCCAGGCCTGGCTCCTAACAGGCTATGGACCACTGTAAGTCTGTGGTCTGGGGTTTGGGGGATGCATATGTAAAGGACATTGGAAACTAAGAAGGTGGAGGATAGGGGTGTGAGATAGAAAGCTATTTATCAGGTACAGTGTGTGCTCTTCTGGTAGAAGGCACACTGAAAGCCCTGACTTCAGCATTATACAGTCCATACATGTAACCAAAAACACGTGAACCCCCTACATCTATTTAAATAAAGAAAGTATACCATTTGTATTTGTCAGGAATTGAACTGTCAGAAAACAAGAGACTTTAAAAGACCAAAAAGAAAAAACAAAAGGAGCCCACCCCAACCCAAGGAAGCACCCAAAGGCAGAACTCCCAAGTTCTTCAGTGGTGGGCCATGGTGGGTGGGTAGACACAGATGGGGGGGTGGTTCTCACCTTAGCGAGGTGACCTTGCAGCCCACGTATCGTGCACCCAGGCTGCTCTTCTGGAACAAAGGATGGAGCTGGAGAAGAGAAAGGAGCTGGAGTTGGTGAGAGGCAGGCACCAGCCCTAGGATAAAGAGGGTGGGGTGGAAGGGGGATGGAGCCTCTCACCAGGTGCTGCATGAGGGAGTCCATGATGTTGAATGTGTGGGAGCCAACGTGCCCCATTTCTGCTGAGTAGTGCAGGTTGTTGATGGTGAAGTTCAGCGTGAAGGGCTCTTTGCTGAGCTCCCCATCTATGGGAAAGTGGGAAGAGAGAGACAAAGGTCACTCATGGGGAGAATGGTGTGTATGAGAAGTGGCAGGGGTGGCATGAGGGTGGGATGGGGACAGCATGTGCCCTTGGGTGGGGCTTCCAGGGGCCCCATGTCTGCCTCCCCCATAAACCCAAGGGCGATTTGTTAAAGGAGGCAACTCTGGCAGCAAGCAAGGGCATGCTTAATGACTTGGGCAGGGAGGGTCATCTGGATAAGCCATTTCCACCCAGGTGCTAGAAGGGAGGACTCTGTAAAAAAAAATCCCAGAGGGTTAGTTCTTTCCCAGGGGGAGAGGCTTCACCAGGCTGATATGGAATTGATGATCCCAGACATTCAGAACTTTTCATTCATATTTTCATATTCTCTCTCTCTCCCTCCTCTCTGCTCCTGCTCTTATAGTTAGGAATATCAGTCTTCTATGCATTGGTCACAAGAACCAATGGTCCTAGCAACTACAACTGACCTCCCTGTGCCTTGATTTACTCAGCTGTGAGATGGGCTAATGATAATGGCCCACAATGACCACTTCAAAGGTTGTTAAACAACTTAATCTTTGTAAAGTGTATAAGCAAAGATCAGAGAGCAAACATGAAGTGCTTACACTCATTATATAAATTAAATAAACAACTGCTTTCTGATCACCTTACTATGTGTGGAGCTTTACTATAAATGCTAGTTAATGTTTAAGACAAACCTCTGGAAGAAGATTTGCTTCTGTCTTTCCTCTTCCTCCTTCTGCCCATTACTCCTTCTGAACTTCTGTCTGTTCATCTTTCCTTCTCTCTGTCTATCTCTCTTTTCTTCTTTCCTGCCACTTTTCTACCCATCCACCCATCCATCTACCCATCTTGCCTTTCTCTCGCACACACTGAATTCCCTAATCCTTGAAAACCTACAAAGTTTTTTTCATACACATGTTTTCTGGGGGTGCAAAGGGAGTTTTCCCTTGGACTTGGTAGGTGTCCTTAATCAGCAAGTCTTTTGAGATCGATGAACTGATGCATGAATAGTGCAAAGAGTTAGATCATAAGTTTTGGAGTCATAGGAACTCCTAGCTCTATTATTTAATTGGTATGTGGCCTTGCCTACCTCTCTGAATCCGAGTTTCCTTATCTGTAAAATATAGATAAAGTACATGGTTGTAGTGAGAATTTAAGGAGAGTTATGTGTTATGGGATGAATTGAAACATTTCCCTGCCTAAATTGATATGTTAATTTGAGCCTTAACTTCCAGTATCATGAAATATCAGAATATGACTGCATTTGGAGATTAGGCCTTTAAACAGGTAAATAATAAATTAAAATGAAGTCATTAGGTTGGATCCTAACCCAAATATGACTGGTGACCTTATGAAAACAGGATATGAGGATACATGTATGCACATAGAAACAACCATGTGAAGGCACAGGAAGAAGACGCCCATCCACAAACCAAGGAGAGAGTCCTCAGAAGAAACCAACCCTACAGACACCTTGCCTTAGACTTCCAGCCTCAAGAACTGTGAGAAAATAAATGTCTGTTGTTTGGATCACCCAGTTGGTGCTATTTTGTTATGGAAAAATTAGAAAGCTAATACAGCATATAAATTAGCACAGTGTCTAGAATGTAGTTCATTTCCATAAATAGTTGCTGAAAACCAAACAAACAACAGGTACAACATGGATGTTGAGAAACTTTCAGAACAATAAACAGAGATACAAAAAAAGAATATGAAAAGAGTAATGTTAAAATAATCTGGTTTGGTTTGCTGCCTCTTGATACATTTATTACTGCTCACACATGTAGATACCAGGACTGAGACGCTCTTGAGCAGATAAAAGCCAGATAAGCCATGGAAACAACCTCAACCTTGTTTGATTTATGAACATAAGTGAAACCTAACTTGTGATGTTTGCATGCATAAGCCAAACTTAATGTGGGCTATTTCCTGTAAACACCTATATTATAGAAAAACAAAACGTAAGTTCAGCTTATCAGAAGCCACCAACTAATTTATGATTATATAAATAGCCACTTTCCAACAAATAAGACTTAACTAAGTAATTATAACCAGTCTACTGTTTGGTTTGCTTTCCTTGCATGCTCATGCATAGAAACTTTCCCCTTCTATTCTCTTAGGGGAGCCCCAAACCACCTTTGGTTTGGTTGATGCTTCCTCATTCATGAATTGCAGCTTGCACAGGTAAATTCCTTAAAATATTTTATCTTGTGACTCAGTTTACTTTTTAACAGTACATGGACAGATTTTTTCTCTCTCTCCCTTCCTTCCCTTCCTTCCCTTCCTTCCCTTCCTTCCCTTCCT